TATCACTACCACTACTACTACTACTACCACTACTACTACTACTACTACGACTACTACTACTACTACTACTAGAACTAGAACTACGACAACTGCTAACTACTAAGTATTAAGTATCAATACTACTTACTCCTCACTAACTACTAGTTACTAGCAACTGACTACTAGGTATTAGGTACGAACTACTTAGTATTAATTACTAATTATGAACTGGGACTGGGCCATGAGGCTCGTGACAATGAGTATGATGATCATGATTATGATGACGCAGTTGTTCCTGTTGCTGCACGCAAACAGCTGAGAGGAATGTGTAAGGTCAGCGACAGTATTGGCAGCAGTCCACTGCTTGCTCCGCAAGGTTGTCACTCGGGTGGATCTAGCATTAGCATTGCTGAGGTGACGTTTTCTCGCCTTTTCAAAACTCTTGATCCCTGGTTTCAGTTCTGCGTTTACATATTCAATGTGCAAGAATTCGCAGTGAATGCAAGGTTATAGCATGTAGAGTCAGATGCCATGCACTGGCAAACCCTCTGAGACAAACCGCTTCCAGAAGTTCCTCTCAAGAGCCGACTCTGTGGCCAGCGAGATGGAAGGCACGTCTCTGTTTTGCTTGGCCCGCCTTGCGGTTGAGCTTCTTGTCTTGACGACAGATGGGGAAGATGAGCCATTGACGCTGCCTGAAGTGGAAGAGGAACACTGCTCGGTGCTGGCCTCGGAATCCTATGAGAGGCAGGCGAGAAAGGACAAGGCTGTTGGAGTTATTGAGGGTGAGACTCGAGGCTTGGCGCGCAGAGTGGGACAAGGCTGATATTGAACTGGTCCCTGCCCCAGCTTCTCTCTTAGAAAGGCTATTGCCTTGGCTATCTTGCTTGGCTCACCTATTGCACATGTATTGCCGTGGAGATGCCTCAAGGAGGCCTCGCGGGGCCTCAGGGCTCTGACCAGTTCTGGCAGGGCCGCCTATGTGTCCAGCCATGGATAGGCCATGGCGATACTGAGACACATGAGCAAAAGCATCATTGACAGGCTGCTGGATTCCCAGTACACACAAGAGACCTTGCGTGATGAGTGCTGGGCAGAAACTCAGTGCGACTCCACACAACCAGATTCAGAGCTATGTCCGGCCAAACTGGATGTGGAGCCGACACCTGGCCACGACGTCTGCACTACAGATGAAGATGTGGAAACCACGGCGAGCGAGGCGGATGACAAGGAGGACCACAGGCTCGAGGTGCCTTTTCGCGGCATTCGTGAAGTGGCGGAGGCTGACATTGCTGCCGGGTGCAATGCTGCAGCTCTGCGAAGCAGCGAAGATTTGGAGCTTTACCTGCGAAGGCTTGGTGGTCTGGGTCACAGCCCTCTTCATCCGCCTCCCCCGCGCAGCTTCGCAAGACAAGCCGAGGCGATACGATACCTGGAGGGTCTCCTTGCTCAGGGGGTTTACCGGTTGCATCAGCTTGGCCTTTTCTCCCGCGAGTTTTCTTCCTCGGGCTGCAGGCGCTTCCTTGTCGATACAAAAGTGGGCTTTGCGCTGACATCCGCACCGACCTCGAGGCAGTGGGATCAGGTTCTCGACAAATTGCCGCAACAACATCTGTACGAGGTCTTGATGGAGACACAGCCCTGCTGGCTTTATTTTGATTTGGAGTTTCCTAGATGTGTGAACCCCAACCTCGATCCGGGCAAAGTTATCTCGGCGTTCTACGATCTCCTGAACCAGTTCTGCTTCTCAACCTTTGGATTGACGTTGGATACAGACTCCCTCTTTGAACTCGATTCGACCACAGACGAAAAGTTTTCCAAGCACGTGATCGCCAAACGTTTGCAGACGGTTGACGGCAGTGGGTTGGGCGGGCAGTACCACTTCCAGTCGTTGGCATTCCCGAATAATGCTCAAGCAGGGTTCTTTGTCAAGAAGTTCATGGACTTTGTGCGGCAGCAGCGTTTGGCCACTCTGTTGCACTCACAACTCCGCTTTCCAGGGAGTTGAGCTCAGCATGCTGAGGCGCGAAGACGGGCTGCCAGCTTGCTTTTTGCTCGGGCGAAGCCCAAACAGCAGAAGGAGTATCAGAAAGATCCTGCGAAGGATGAGGCTCCAGCAGCAGAGACTCTCGTCAGTTTCATGCTGCCATGTGGTTATTACATGTAGTTGTGTTCAGGTAAATTAGATTTAGAATCACCCTCTGCTTGCTTGGATTCGTGCTGGCACGAAAGCCTAGAGCGCAAGGAAGGCCTCCGCGGATGAAGCTGCAGGATCACCTCCGTCTGAGGTTCCAGTCGTCGACGAATCCGTGTCTCCTCCCCGCAGTTGATCAGAGGGTGGGTTCAATCGTGACAAATCTTTTGCGTGATGCAGGTATACTCGAAATCGGTGCTTTCGGGTGCTGTTCAGCTCAAAGCATCTTGGCAAACATGCACGCGCATGTGCAGACACGCCAACACGCTGACACACTTGCACTTCGCTCGTCCGCCCCACCCCAGCTGCCCCGCCCCACAAGCCCCGAGCCCAAAGCAATTTCAAAGAGCCTCCATGAACATGGCATGGTTCCGATGTAGATCTGCGAGCAGTGGCCAGCCAGCGAGCCAGCATAGTAGTTGTGGCAGTAGTAGTAGCAGCAGCAGCAGCAGTAGTAGTAGTAGTAGTAGTAGTAGTAGTGTAGTAGGGTGTCCCCCCCGGTGCGACGCCCAGACCTCTTATTTTTTGGCTTTTTTGTGGTCGGAAATGCTGGT